TTTTTAATTAATATTAAAATTATATTATTAAATAAAAATATCGATTAATATTTTTTAAAAGTTATTTATAAATAATATAAAATGTTTTTTATTTAAATAAATTTAAATTATATAAAAAAAATAATTATGATTGGTTTTTTATAAATATTTATAATTAATTTTATACGGTAATTTAAATAAAATTAAATAATAATAATTTTTATAAGTTATTTTTAATTTTAATTTTTTTAATAAAAAGATTAAAAAAATTGTAAAAAAAATTAATTTAAATTAATTGTTTTTTTTTAAAAAATAAACTTAATAATGTTATATAAAAAGCAAATATTCGAAACGAAAAAATTAACGAAATATTTAATTTTTTAACGTTATATTTTATATAAATATTATAATTAAAAACGAAAAAAAAAAATAATAATATTATTAATATAAAAAATTAATAAAATATTAAATAAAAGAATTTTTTAAATAAAAAAAGTTTTAATTAAATTAAAAATTATATATAAATTATATATAATTATTATAAATAATTAAACTTATTTTTTTAATAAATTTAATTATTATAATTATAATATAAATTAAATATATTTTTATTTTTTATATATATAAAAAAAATTTTATAATTTTATAATATTAATATTTATAAAAAGTATTTATTTTAAAAATGTTTATATATATAAAAAAGAAATAATTATTAAATAATAATAATTGGTTTATATTTTATTTTAATAATAAAATATTATATAAATATAAAAACTTTTATAATTTTAAATATATATAATAATATTATAAATATTATTATATATTATTACGTATTTAAATTTTTTTAATATTTATATAATAATTTAAATTTAAATAATTATTTAATTTATATTATTATAAAAAATTATACCGTAAAAAATTAAATAAAAATTTAATCAAAATATTAATTATTTATAAAATAATAATTTAATTGTTAAATTAAAAAAATAAAAATAGTTTTTATAATATAAATAAAAATTTATATAAGTGTTATTTTTACTTTTTTATTATTAAAAGTTTTGTTATTTATAATTTTATTATTTATAATTTTATTATTTGCAATTTTACCGTTTATAATTTTACCGTTTATAGTTTTATTATTTATAGTTTTATATAATTTAAAAAGCTTTATATATAAAGTTACTTTTAAAATTAATATAAAAAAAATTATTAAATAAAATATTAACGTATAAAATGTCGGTTTAAAAAATAAATTGTTATTTTTTTTACGAAAATAATTTTGTAATAATTTTAAATTATTAATATTATTTAAACGTTTAATAATAAAAGTAAAAAAAATTATAATTTTACATTTACGTTTTTTATGTTTTTTTTTTAATTTAATTTTAATAGGTTTATTTTTAACATAATTTTTTTTATATAAACTTTAAAAGTATTATTAATATTATTTTAAAAAATAATTTGTATATTTTAATAATATATAAAAATCTTGTAATACTTTTTTTTGTTTATTTTTATTTTATTAAAATTAAAGTTAATTTAAATTGTGTAAATATTTTTAACATATATTACTTATATATTAATATTGGTAAAAAAAAAGTAATAAAATTTTTATAAAAAGTTTTAAATAAGTAAATTTTATTTAATTTAACCTTTTAAATAAAAAATATATTAATAAGTTTTTTTTATTAATTAATAATATTAATAATTAATACTTTTTAAATTATAATTTCGTAATTATAAAATATTTTATATAATTTAATTATATAAATAAAAATAAATAAACGATTATTTTTATTTAAAAGTTATTTATTATAATAAACCGTAATATTAAAATAATAAAATTAAATGTTTAAATTATTAAATAAATTATTATTAATTAATTTATTTTATATAATATTAAAATGACATATTATATTAAAATAAAATTTAATAATTAACTTTTTATTAATTTTAAATAAAATTAAAATATATATTATTTTAATAATTAAAATAAACTTTTTTTTTATAAAATAAAAAGGTATAAAACGTTATAAAATATAAATATATTTATTTATTTTAAAAAAATTATTATTATTAATATTATATAATATAAGTTTTTTTTTTAACTTTTTATTAAACTTTTAAAAAATATAACTAATAATATTAATAATATTATTATTAACATTATTAATATTATTATTGTCGTTAATAACGATTAATTTAATAAATTTAATTTTTATATAAAAATAATAAAATTTTAAAAGTTATTTATAAAATTAATAAAATTTACCATTTAAATTAATATGTAAAATGTTATTTACTTTAAAAACCATATATTTTATTTTAAATATAAATAGTAAATTAAAATTTAATTTTTATAAATTTTTTTTTAAAAAAATAATATTAAAATAATTATAATTATTTATTATATAAATATATATTATATTAATTAAATAAATATTTTTATTATAATAAACCGTAATAAAATTTAAAAATATACATTTAATATTTTTTAAATTATAACAAGTGATTTTTTATTAACTTTAATTTAATATATAATTATTTTTTTCATTTTAACATAATATTTTATTTAATTAACCGTAATAACCGCTTAAGTTACATACCTAGTAATTATTTGTATTTAAAAATTAGTTTCTTAAATATATAACGCATGGTCCGTGTCATTATATCTGTGGGTCACGGGTGCGAAAGTTCAACCAAAGATTCAAAATTCGTGGGAGGTAAAATAAGGTGATAAGTAATAGTTATAGGATGTAAGCTACCCTGTCCTAATACGCAAAGAGCCCTCTGAAGAATGACAAACTCGACCTGCAGCCGCGGCTGTAAGAGCAAACTGGAACAGTCCTCCCCCCAGCCTCGGTTAATGTCAGGAAGCGAGGAAAAGGGTACGAGAAAGAGACGCGTCAGAACGCAGCAACCATCTCGAGGACCTAGAGGGCTCCGGGTAGCTTAGTGCAACACAAATAATGCGCTATCATCGCATATCACATTATTAAAAGTATGCTAGGAGGAAGGAATCGACGTGGTCCAGGTGCAATTGCCCTAGGCCCCTATTACAGGAGACTGGAATGTCTGGCATCCGGGGTTTGAGCCTGGTATCGAAGGACGAAGCAGAGGCGCTGGCCTGGAAGTGTCCATGGTCACGATGAATGTCCAAGGCGCGTTTGACGCTCTTTTGAAGCGTAGGCTATTACAGCGAATGAGACGCCAAGGCTGGCCGCTGAAGGTTTTGGAGCTGACAGACTCCTTCTTCACGGATAGGGTCGTTCGAGTGCGCCTGGAAAGAGCGGTTACAGTATATAAGAGAGTGCGGTATGACACACCCCAAGGGTTGCCCTGGTCACCTGTGCTTTATATGTTGTATTTGGTGGACCTATTCAAGCAGGACTCTAGGCATCGTTTCGGTTACGTCGATGATCTCTGCCTATATCGTGCCTCGCGGTCACTGGACGAAAACGCGGAGCTCTTGACTAAGGATGTGTAGCGTGTTCTTCAGTAGGGAGACAACAATAAGGTCTCCTTTGCACTAGAGAAGTGCGAAATGATACATATCACTAGGAAGAGGGATCGATGCAACCACCCAGTAGTAGCTAACGAACGCTTTAGTATCCAACCGGTCCAAAAGCCGGAAAAGAAAAAGAAAGAACCTGCGTTCAAATGGCTAGGAGTGTTGTTCGACCGAAAACTACCCCGATAGATACGATATTCAGAGATTTTGGCTTACCTACAGCACAAGCAGCACTCGACGAGGCACTTATACGCTTCTCCTACAAGCTGCAAGCAGTGAATGAAGACCATCCGCTAGCCAAGCGGGCGGAGCTACCCATTATCGTCAGAGGCCCCAGAGCAGTAGGCTTGCGGACACCCAGGACTAAAGTACAGAGAGCTGCGAGGTTACTACCATCGATTCGCCGCCCGGTTTTAGTTCCTCCCACTTACCCCTCCGGGTTCCAGGCAAGACCCCACAGAGGGACTTCCAAAGAGCAAGCGGCATAGGCCTTCGAGGACTGGTATACGGAGTTACCTCCGAGGGATATAGTTATTATAGGCGGCTCCCAAGAGGGAGACAAGATAGGCTACGGCTTTGCGGTCTATCAGAACAGAAGGCTTTTAACGACAGGGTATGGCAGGCTTGATCCTATCTCGATCAACTTCAACGCTGAGGCAGTAGGTGCCTGACTACAATATGCTATTACACAACCCCCGCGTATTAGCAAGCAGCAAATCTGGGTATGCTTAGATAATACTGGCGTAATCTGGGGGCTATGCTTGGAAATGCTGATGAATAGCCCTTAGGACTTTAAGGAGTTCCTCGAGGTAACTGGATTTTATAACGATATCTGCGCCGGGGGTTGGTATTAAGGGTGCGGGAAAGGTACGGCTCTTGTATTGTGGTTTGTTGGATCTTTGTTCATTATATTAGCTCGGAGTTTCACGGAACAGAGCAAACAAGGCTTGGAAAGGCTGTGGCAAGGATATATATTATCTTGGGACTTATAGAGTGACTGGAAAAGTGGAACTTGAAGACTTCCCTTACTTGGCCGCAGGGAGGTTGCAGCTCGAGACGCCCTCGGCAACACGTCTTTGGATTCAAATTGTTAAATAGGTGTCTATGTACTGTTATGTAGAGTAAAGCCTATAGACTAGCACGCCTCTTATGCCCCTCACCCCGGACGTTAAATAATACAGTCAGATTTGGCGTAACGAATTAAAAAAAAAGAACATCGATTCGGATTCGTTATAGAGTACCTAGGTAAGTGCAGAAACCACACTACTACCTAAGATGGAAAATATGGAAAAGTGCCAGTCAAAATTCAAGTCGAAATAAGCTTAGTTTCATAACGAATTATAAGGACATGATTTGTTATGGCCAGATCAGACTGTGATAATAATAACACCGGCGCGAATCGCCTCGTAACCTGAGTCTCCACATTCTTTACTCCTTAGGTGGGTACACAGACATTTCAGCAAGTTATTGATTGTCGCCTTCCTGCCTAGAGACCTTGGAGACTTCCGCCTCAGTTGCCTCGCTTGTAGCTGCCAGCATAGGAGGAAGCCTCCTTATTACCGACTTGAAGCATTGGATCGGTTTCAAAATCTATAACGTACCCTTAGCTCAAGACCTGTATATTCCGCTTCCAAGCGTAGAATAGGAATTCATCTTTTGTTGAAAGCACTTACTGGCCGGGTATGCAACGGGGGTTGCGAACGTCGGGACCATGAGGATCAGAGCAAGAGCGGTATTGTAAAGGTGAGTGCGCATGATTGCTGACCTAAATCTTGATGATATGTAGGGAACTGCTGCTAGGGAGGTGTTGATGAGTATAGAAAGGAGAAATAAGAAAAGTCGTGGGCGGCTCATCAGCCTTTTTATCTCCAAGATCTCGTCACCCATGTCACCCATACAGCATCCCCCACCCTATTAGCGAAGCGAAGGAGAAAGGAATAGGATATCATGCTCACCTCATGCAAGTATTTGATCATAGGACGCAAGCTTAGGATCACATACTGTTGGAGTCTTGCTAGCCTACATATGTGCTGTAACATTCTTAAGCAGGCTGTCCTTTGATAGTAGAGTCGCATTGGATAGCCGAGGAACTCAGGCTTGGTGGTGCCGTGTTTGATGCCATAATGTGGTTGGGGACATGTCGGACAACCCTTTATGCGTTTTGATATCTCTAATAGGATCGGTTTTCATCACCTGTCCATGTGAACCAGTAATGGAGGACAATTTGGTCGATAAGTTGGATATACTGCCGCAAAGCCGGTAGGTAACATGATATCATCACATATATACTTAACCCTACGACCCTTCCTGTTAGTTGAGTTTTCCTCAGCTATTTCAACGCCTATAACTTTTTTCCCAGTACTTATTCTAACTACTTCAATGACTATCATGTCTGATAAACCAGCCTACGCTGCGCTCTCGGCCGAACCGGACTCAGAACCTGAGATGCCTCTGCTGAGCTATCATGACTCAGTTTGCGAGGATAAGAAATCGAAGGTTCTCAGGCGGATTCATTGGGTCATTCATGGCTTCAGCGTTATTGGGATGCTTGTGCTTTTCATTAGTCTTTACTTGGCTACCCAAATCAACCAGGGGAAGTGCTGGAGTATGTTCAACTACTATTGTAAGTTCCCGCACCGCGTAAAGAAACAACCAGATGACTGGGCTATTCTGCTAATTTACGCCGCAGCTCCGGTGAATGATGCGGTTACTCCACATCCATATGTTCATCGAGTCTTCAACGGCTCACTTTGGCATCAGAGCCGTTGGAAGGGGCCACCTACTGAGGAGGTAGAGCAGGCATGGTACGATATTATGAGATGTGAGTAGCATCATTCAGTCCTAAGAAGCTTGGTAGATTCAAAGTTACTCACATGACTTGTAATAATACTCAGATGGCATGATTAGTGTCTCCAAGGAAGACATCTTGAAGGTGCAACACCCGGACTGGTCCGCTCAGTTCCCATCCGAAGCCGGTGGCGGCTATATTGCAGCGACCATCGGGACGCATCAGTTGCACTGCTTGCACTACATCTGGCAAGATCACTATATAGATTACTTCCCCAAGACACAAGACAAGAAGCAGCGTGTGCCCGAAATGTATGAGCGTCACTACGAACACTGCGTTGATTACATCCGTCAGAGCCTTATGTGTCAGTTTGACACCGGCATCATACCCTATAACTGGGTCTTGGACCACGAAAATCCGACCCCCAACGCCAACACGCACCACAAATGCGTCGACTGGGATGCTCTTCAGGCTTGGTTCGAAAAAAGACGAGTTCAGGTACCTGAAGGATTCGAATGGAGACAGCCAGAGAACGCTGTTTCGATGGATTGGAACCCTTAGGCAGGGGCAAATCATGAAAATAAGCTGAAAAGAGACCTCTGTGGTGATTGGATTAGGAGGGACGACCCGATCCGAGCCCTACATCAATACAGAATATTAGGTCGATTAGCAAGGTTGGGCGAGGAGGAGAGGAGAAGGCTGGCTTTACCGGCTCCTTCACTTCCACGGGAGTAAGAATACTAGTATTGGTCAGGTGTACCTATATAATTATGCGCCATAGGGATTTGCTTACGTTCATCCACGTCTTGTACTCGTCAGTGAGATAAAAAAAAACTTTTAAGTCTTCAATGCAGTATTAGTACTTGGACGGTAACTAGCAGCACTTGAATATGACGTATTGGAAGCATTTGAATCGGCATATGGGTGGTGTGTAATACCACCCAAGCCCTCCAATGATTGAAGGTAGATACCACACTACGAACAGTTGCAACGAAAATGGGTAAAAAAAAAAAAAGAAGGCGTTGCAGCCTCGTAGTCGGGGGCGGCAATGCTACACAGGTGAGGGGGCTTAGAATCCCGGTAGAGGTAACAATGCCGCTTATAGTCCGCAGGCTCAACAACCGACTTCCACAGGCGGAACGTGACGAGGCTGCGAGATAATAATAATACTGTTCAGTATCGGCCATGGTGCTGTTGTGATCACCAGAAACAGGATTAGCGTTGCATTGCCAGGTGCGTGGCTGCAGAAGGATGCCGAAGATAAATGAAATGCTGCTGTGCCTAGGTAGGTTCCTAAGGTAGGCTGTGGTGGTCGATCACAGCCGGTCAATCAAGGACCGTTAGGACAACATTCCTATCGAGTAGCTAGCTGACGACGTCCTCACCATAAGACAGCAGATGAGACGTTACGAAACTTCTGGACTGCGGGCCTGCTTGCTGCCTATCTCGCTGCCCGTAGCATCTTAACTCTCTCAAGAGATTTGAGAATCTATATTTGCTTTTGGCCTTTAGCCTTTAGCTTATACTAGGTATCCTTTACCGCACGACAATGTCTGGTGTCGGGACAACCCAGAGCGCTATGGCGGTTGGATTTTCCTTCCCGATCATCGATGGAATATTCGTCTGTCTGCGATTTTACACTCGCCGGCAGCAGAGGGCACGATGCCAGCTTGATGATTGGCTTTGCATTCCAGCGTGGGTATGTCATGTCTCCGAGTTGAAAGTTTACCTGGGTCCTGAATATCCTAACGTCCCAGGACAGTTTTTTCTAACCGGGTGTTGCGCTTCGCTGCTGACAGGCAGGTCTCTCAGTTGAAAATGCGCCGGCCCGTTGTTTACATTATTAGGTATTCAGGAGTCTTCAAGGGTGCTTTTGATGAAGTGCCTCTTGATCCTGCCAAAGCAGCAAATCAGGAACATATCCTAGCTCAGGTTCGTCAATGCAATAACTGCAACTACTTACTACATATCTTAGTTCTTTCGTAGCTTCAGTGGATGACTGGTCTATCTACAGGTCACAGCTGCTCTCGTCATCCTCTGGATGGCTACAAACTTCCTCATTAAACTGATCATGCTGTTATTCTATCGTCGGATCTTCGTCGGCCGAATCTTCAACGTATGTAACTGGGCTCTCATAGCACTCTCTTGTATCTGGTTTGTCTTTGCGGTAGCCTCGTGGCTGTTTTATTGCGGTACACACTTCAAAGAGGATGTCGAGGGCCCCTGGGATGTGTGCCCGCAATGGGGGTTCGTGATTCAAATGGGAGTGTTCGCACTAGACAGCTTCATCGATTTTTGCTTGGTAGTGTTGCCCATACCATTCGTAAGTGTTTCTCTTTATTATCCTTCCCCAGATATAATTATCAAGATGGGAGTAACATAATTCCGTATAGGTATGGGGCCTCCAACTCGACCTCAAGCGCAAAATAGCCGTGACGATTGTGTTCATTGTTGGAGGCTTGTACGTTGCATTCTCATCCTCTCTAAAGCCAGACTAACCTTTCTCAGTGCATTCGTTGCCGGCCTGAACAATACTATCATCCAGCTTGTCTCTCTTACCGAACCGGAACTTCTTACCGCTACTGGTGGCGGGTCTAACTTTTTTCAAGGTAACGGTTACTACCTAATGCTTACACTACTATCCATAATCTGTCCACTTACCCTTTGCTCGTTTCGGAGTAGGATCCTCTCTCCTGTTTTCCAACTGGCCTGCTATTGAGATTGGCGTCGGCTTGCTTGCATCTAATCTTCCGCACCTCTCCTTCCGAGTGGGCCACGCTCTCAAGAACAGCCTGCCACACGCATTGCGCATACCGTTCGAGTCAATTCGCCATGCAGCAGGAGCGCTTTCTTCATCCTCCCTCCACCAGCGTCGGGAGAAGCGAAGTGGGCGCCTCTCTGAGTACCCAGGCAGCCAGCAGACTTTATGGCTAGGCCGAGGAGCACCGGGGAATGCAGAAATTATGGAGGGAACGAAGGGGGTAGAGCAGATCTCCGAGCGAAGCTTGGAGATCTACGAGATGAGAGACTTGAGCGTGAACGTGACGAGTAATGGGACATAGTGAAGGCACCTCACTACGTTGCTTTTCCAATTTGGCCCTATGAAAACCTAGTAAATTACTTGGCAATCTGATAAGAATAGAAAGAACCGACGGGTTTATCTGTAAAGTTAGCATTCAGCGGACATGTCCTAGAGTAACCGTGCCGAGTAAATAAATTTACATTCTCATCTCAACACGAGAAGGGGGTGAGCTTCACACGTCAATTTCAGCGTAGTCGGTCCACTCTCCCCCACGCCAGAATTTTTGTCCACCTCGAAAAGAATGCTCGATCTTCTCTTTTGCCCTTGCTTCCATCCTAATCTGGAAGCCCGTGATACTATTATCCGTTATTCCTTCTTCGGCAATTGTCCGTGCTAGATCAGCTGCGTCCTTGATAGCGGTGTCGGCACCAGAGCCACCCATGGGGCTCATCGGGTGTGCTGCATCCCCGATGAGTAGAACTCTCTTAGATGTTGCAGTCGAAACCTCTATGTCCGGTTTACTCGACAGGATAGGGATACAAGCGGACATATCATGGGCAGCTGAACGAAGCAAAAGCTTCAAAGCAGAATGCCATGTTTCCATTGCCCGCTCCAGAAACGCTTTTTTCTCTTCTGCCGTTCTTGGCAATACATCCGAGTACTGGAAAGGCGCGGTACAGACAACCCAATATATATAATCCGAAAAGTCAGGCAACCTGCCTTCTGATTCTTGCCTCGCACTTCTAGACCATATCATCGGCTCAACAACAGTCTGCACGTTGTTCTCTGCGTCCAAGTACATGCACCAGCTTAACAAGTCCGGTAATATCTTTTCCTTCAAGCCCTCCGTTATTGGTGTCCGACCCCATAGGACCCAACGGTCTAGATCTAATAACTTTCGATAGGGCTGAAGTTGCATACGCACGCGGCTTTTGACGCCGTCCGAACCGATAAGTAGCTGTCCGTACACGATGGAACCATCGACAAATTTGACGCGAACATAGTCTTGGACAAGTTCGTACGATTCGAGATCCTTTCCATACTCGATCGCATCCCCAATATCCAGCGCGGTCAGCATCCGGAACCAAGCTCTATCTACGGGTACCGACGGGGGGTTCACGGAGGTGGGTATCGGAAAGTCTAATTTAGTGGCATCGACGTAGCGTGGACTGAATGGTGGGTTTTCTGGTGCAGTACGCCCTAAGAGGGTTTGCAATGGGGAAGAAAGAAGGTTGCTAAGCGCTGTATGGGTTTCATTTGAGATGCGGAAGCGGTGGCCTTGGAAGGGGTAAGACTGGGAATGGCGCTCAAAGAGGCGAAATGCTATGGAGCTAAGACGGAGACCTTGTGCTAGCGTAAGACCGGCGACTCCGGCTCCGACTATTAGCACCGGGAGCTGCCGTCTTGTGCTTGGCGGCATAACTAAAATAACTAAAATTAAATTGTCAAGAAGACGACGGAATTCCAAGCTTGGAGACAGGAAAAGCTGGGCTTGAGAAAAGGCGGGCGATTACGTTGAACTTGATTCTCTGTGTTCCAAAAAAGCAGTAAAATCTACGGCAGCCCTTCTTAGGTTAGGTACCTATTCATTGTAAAACCCCCTAATATTATTAAAATACAATGTCACGTGATCAATAACAGCAAACACGCTATACTACCTAGCCACCAGGTAATTCTTACCAGTAATCACGGGGTGCATCGCTCACGTTTTTTTTTCCTTAAGGGATTTCACTTAGTACGGTGATTCGTTCATCAGTTCTATCCAGCAGATCTTCCAGTCTTAACTCCCCGACGGCTCTTTCTTCCGTCCATCTTCGCAACGCCTCAAAAGACTCAAACGGACGGCACTGGTGCTTCACCGCTGGAAAGTTTGGCACGGGGAAGTCTTGCCCATCAACGTGGACGTAGCCTATCAGGGCATAATCCGGATTGCATGTCAGACTTTGACGCAGGATGTCGACGCAGTGGCCTTTTGGGATGCATGTTAGCCTTGAGCCCACGCTGAAGATAAATAGAGGCTTGTAGTACTGACCAATGTGCGTGCTCAGCTGGTAGAGTTCATTGCCGTGAAACATGGGTTCCCCCAGCTGAGAGTAGTAGTGGTAGTTGGGCTGTGCAGCCTTGCGAAGCAAGTCGAGACAGTGAAGCTGATGGAAGACTTCAAACGAGGCAAAGTATTCAAGAATAGGGTTTCCATCTTCATCTCTACGTCTTATAAGCGCCGAACCAGCCAGGTTCGCTTTTTTACCAAGTGATTCAGGTATCGAGACCGCAGTCCCTATAGGGTCACGAGTTTAGTCCAGCTAAGTAGGCATTTTAGGGGTGATAGATTCTGGGGAGATCCAACGCACAATTTACAGCGAGATCCTGCCACAACCGATCCACAGCCGGGGATGGAGGTCCTCCGTAAGGTGTTGGGTGATGTAGTCGAGCGTCAAATTGGACCAGACGAGAGCGGGTAGCAGATTGATGCTCTTCAACGAACGGGGCTGCAGCACTCTGTCAGTTTGAAACCAAAGCCTTAAGGGAGCGTGCGATGCATCCGAGCTACTTACAATATATCTTTCCATGTGTGGTTCCAGTGGTGTCCGGACTGCGCCATCGGTATCCAGCGACTAGTCCAACTAAGACACTTATCGTTGATAAGGTAATGACTTTGAGAATATTCCTCAGGTTACTGATGCAAAGTTCCTTGCATTGAAGGTGCCAGTAAGCTGAATTTGGCCGAGTTTGTTCGTTGGGCTCAACATGAAGGTAGATGGGTTGAAATGGCTTTAGTTTCTCAATTAGGTGGAATAACATAGTGAGGATGCAAAAATCAAATTTAGGAGTGTGATATGGTTCTGGTCATCATCAAGCAGCATCCTCAGTCAGCACCACCCAGTCTCTTGATATATATCCGGCCTTTGAGCCATGTACAGTTTTTACCAGACTCTGACCCCGAAATGATTTCCTGCAGGCGATCACATGCAACGTCCTCACCCCTCTCTCTTCGAAGCGGCTACTCACGCCTCATCATGCGAGGGTAAATGAACTTGACGGTTCTCATACGTAAGTGGCATGTAGTTAATATCGGGCTGTAATGCCTTATTCAATGCTTATGCGAGTCAAATACGAGACTTTCAAGTTTCGGGCAGCAGCCAAGTTGGAGTAAGGAGCTTTTGCACATGAGTGGGTACCTAATGCAGTTTTCCGGTGAAGCAAGAAGGCTTCAACAGAGTAGTCGCCGAGGCAGATCCTAGGAGAACTGCAGCTTTATCAATATACACGTTTACCCGCGCCACCATGATCACCCCTTAAACCGATTCGAATTAAAACTTCAAACGGAATGCCTATGTGATTTCTCACCGATGTACCAAAATCGATCGGCAGTACTTAGCTTTAGGAGATATAATGGGAAGAACTTGGTCAGATTTAGGCTACGCCGACAGAATTCTCACTATCAAAGCAAATATATTTCATTTAGCACAAGTAACAAGGAAAACGCATATAAAAGCTCTATTATTATATCCGTATAAGTCACTTCGAATGTGGGATAGCAATTGCCACGGCTCGTCCGCCAAAGGCAAAGAGATATACAGTGTTCACAAGGTAAACTACCTAAGTAGGGTCAGTTAAAACGAAGATTGCCCGAAAATGTCTGCTCTTGAGCATAAATTTTGTTAGCTACCTATCCCCCCTACCACCAGTTAACGACCGCTAGATAGATACTGATACTCCCTCGTTAAAGGAAAGCTTGTAGACTGCATCAGAGACATCCATGCAACAGTTCTAAGTTCTCGCAGGCCAAAAGTGGCTGAATGAAAGTCCTCCTTGGTAGTTTACCAGCACCATCCACCGAAACCAAAGATAATGGTGATGCAGCTAAGACCCGGACAGCATTGGCCAGGTAAACACGAATGGCCATAATCTTGACAGGTGGCTTAAAATTGAATAATTAGTGGCAGATCTTCACTCTCTAAGTTGTTCCGATAAAGTTCCATAAAACTCACCGTCAGCATTATAATCGCCCTTTTGTGACATAATATCAAGGACCTTATGATCAAGGATTCCCTTGGATTCGTCCTGATGGATGGTTGTCTCGAACACGATGTCACGTGTCTCTGGGACGGCAGCGCCAGCAGCAAGTTGGCTGGCTAGAATGTAAAGGATGGATGAGATGGTGAATCGCATTTTTGCTTTGAGAAGTGGAACGGTAGGAAGGACGGGATGAGTTGCTAAATTCTGAGTACTGCTTCTTGAAAATGGAGTGTTGGTCGAGAAGTGCTGCAGTCTGGAAGGGAAGGAGGCCGGGCTTGTTAAAAAGAAAAGTGATGTCTATAGAAGTCCCGTATTTCGTACTACTTACAGCTTTTCTGATGCTTTTTCTGTGGCGATAAGTGTGGAGCTCGCGGTTACTTGCAGCTCGCAACATTCATCGCGATGCCGAGTTCTACGGCCGGCCGGGGACCTAGGAGTATTGAAAATTGGAGTATCGGCTTTTAATTAATGCATCGTAAGTCATCATGTGGCGTGATAAGCTATAATCAGAAAGAATGATTTGATGAGAGTGGACTCAGAGCTTCTTGCCTGTGCCTAACCGACGTGGATGAAGAAATCATAGTACAATTAATATCCACGTGCCGCAGCCTCGAAATCCTCCCGAGTCAGCTCTTTTTCCGTCCTGGCCCGAAGCCGGTCCGCAATGTTCACCAAATTGATGTGTTCCCCGAATTTCCTAAATCCATCTGCAGGTAATGCCTTGGTCAAGCCGTCTGCCAACATACTCTTGGTGAGTGTGTAGTCCACTCGTATTCGTGTTCGTGAAGCGGCCTCGAGATGTTCATCGCTAGGATTTGTGGTAAATCGGGAAAGTTAGGAAGCTGCAAAGGCAATATCGAGTCGGGTGATAACTGTAGCATAGGTGATTGATCCGATCTGGCGCTAATATGCTGATCCATCCTTCTTAGAGACGAGATTAGCTAGTTTGTCGATATAGTTAGATTGGGAAAGCCAAAGCAGCCTCTTCCTGCGGTTTCGGATGATGATGATGATGATGATGATGATGATGATGATAACGTTTACGTGCTATATGCTACCTACGTAGATACAGCGGCGCATCTCTGGCGCTTTAGACGTCTAGAGTACCCCCTAAGGGGAACAGAGCTAGAGTGCCGCCTGCCATAAGAAAAATAAGAACATAAAAGAATGTAATCTATCTAGAGGTTGGAGGTTGGGGCTTTGGGGCCTTCTTTCCGGTGCCTCGTGCGGTTCTACAAGATATTGTGGCTGCTTGCAGCCGGTAGCTAGCGGTTTCGGATCACTTCGATCCCTAAGAACCACCGTAGGGGAGCTTCTCGCAACCCACATAGCGGCCTTCTTTAGGTGAAGGATCTATCCTCTCTTCCTATACCCTGGCGGCATTCTCATGAACACGTCGTAGCTTGTAGGAAACCCAGTCTCGTAGGGTGCGATTCTATATCTGTATGCCACCAGGGCGTCTAGACGGTTGGTTCAGTAGTTCGATGGCTCGGAGATCTTCTCCAGCCGAATCGCGCAGTAGGGCGCTATCCTCTAACTGCCGAGTGCAATCAAACTCATCTTGTAAGTTATCTGCGTACTCTTGACGATCCGTAAGCTCTCTGATAGTAGCCGTCATCAGCGCTGCCATCCGCGGCGGAGTAGTATCTAGGGTCAGGAGTGACTCGCATCTAGCTTCAGTATAGGGTGATTAGTCCCTCTACCGCAAGTAGTTCGTGTTCCAACCTGTGCCTGGCTTTTAGGACCTTGCCCACTAGATATTTCCTCAACATCTTCGCTTTGATGCGTCTGTAGATTGCTAAGTTCTTCATCTTCTTCCTGAGTAGCTATGCTTGTGTCACTGTTGTTCCCAGGTGCTCGGTGTGCTTCTAGCAATGCTTGTAATCGTTCATCGGAGATACATAGCAAATCGTCTCTGAGGTCGTCGATGTTTCCGGAGAAGAACGCTCGCTCGTTGAAGGTTACGTCGCAAATAGCATGAACCTCGTTATTCAGTAGGTTCCACACCTGATATATGTTTGTTGATTTGTAGCCAATCGGGTAGCCAATCCATACGCTCGGATTTAGCTTTTGCTTCTAATTTTTGTTTAATTGACTATCCGATGTTATCGCGAAGGTTCTACATCCGTATGCTTTTAGGTGGGCTTGGTTTGACTTTCGGTCTTTAACTACATATTAATCCATCCCTAAACGCAAGGTAAATGTAAAAGCACTTAGTGAGGCCAGCTCCGTGATAATCTTGATATTGCATTCGAGAACTTTTACCCCTATTTGGTACTAATTCTCAAGAGTACCTAGGAAGATTTAAAATGCTTTAACTAGAGTATCGGTTCGTTAGGAATATCGCGCTTGAAAAGCCTCGTCGATTTGGCTTCAAATCGAGGAAATCTATTGCGAATCGCTGTCCTCCCTTGTTTGGTCCCGGGCGTGGCTGTTATCGAGTTTGCTTCTAGATATATCTCTTCAAGGAAGACCATAGAGTGGGAGGAGAGTTGCCATGCGGGAAAGGTATGATAACAATGCGGATTAGGATAGGTTTTCGTACAGTCGAGAGGCGCATAAATGAAGCACGAATATAAGCTGGCTTAGAGCTTTGGGTCGCACTGATAGGAGAAAATCACAAGTCCACCAAGCCCGTACCTATCCCGGATGAGTGAAGAATAAATATTTTCATTGGCTAGCGATTGAATTTCATGGTCTCTCCGGTTTACTTACCCAACATCGAGTCTTCATATCGTATACGAGTTCTCTAGTAATCACCTCCCAGTTAAAATCGTCGAATCTCCGTTTACACTGCAGTATGGCTGTTCCTTCATAGCCGTCAGGTAATTGTACTTCAATATCGTGTAGTCGATGCGACTCGGGAAGTACTGCTTTAGTCGTATCAGAATGAGCGTAGAAATCACTCTCTTCAATATTTATCAGTTCTTCAATCATTCGTGCTGCTAGGTGCGAACTCCAGATCCCTTCTTTATGAGTTGTTGTAAGTAAGAAAACGAGGGCGTCGTGCCTAATATTGTGTACCCGGCATTTGAGAGCTATATAATAAAGCGCGGGGAGAGCGCCTAGATCGGTTATCGAGCTGGACGTATCCGAAAAATGAAATACTGTGGCTAGCTGTGGGGAAAGTGAAAGACTCCGTATGTAGTTCAGCTGGTCCATAATGGTCTTAAATGATTTCGTATGAGTATCATATCTCATCTGGTCTTCTGGCCGGAGGCAAGTATCGACCATGATCTCAGCGATCATATAATATATTCGTAATATTATATAGGCTACGGTGCTGTGTGTGATTTTGCTGGTTATGAGGCTTGCCCTAGATGCTTTAAATGCGCCGAACCACGAATCAAGTTTGGCTTTGAGACGCCGCTGCCTAGAAGGGAGACTCCGAGGGTCTAATTTATCCAAGGGCTGTACCTGGTGGCGGCATTCATGGCTTAGGTAGAATATTTGGCTGAGTATTCGGTCAAGATGCTGTCTTGCTTGATTGGCAGATTGGAATATCAGCGGGGTGGCCGGAATATCTGACGAACAATCCTCCTGGGTAATGTTCAAGAACTGTGACCCTTGACACTGAAACTTTGCCTGCACGTCAAGCCTAATGAAGGCTTGGATGATCCAGGCATCCGCAGAATCGCAACACGGTTCCTGGAACAGACTGTAACTATCTATCGCGCTTGAGCGGGCTTGGAACTCGTTCAAAAGCTTCAAACCGTTTTGGAGATGATCGTAGCCAGTCTTGAAATGACCCCGGAGATATTCCATTGTGACAAACATTAGACATGTGATAAGTGCAACACGGATTGACCGGTTACTTCTAGAAGTGAAATGCGGCTGGAGATGGGCTATTGCTTTGGTATAGTGTTCCAAGGTAAAATGTTCCTGCTTATCCGGAGCGACATCTGGCGAGGTATCGAAACAAAGTCCTTCTTTCCTATGGGCTGAGCTCAGGGCGAGAATAGCATGTAAAACAGCTGGCTCGCTTGAAGCGGCTTGGAATACGAGCCTATCCCAGAATTGAAAACTAAAAACCCCGGGAAGCTTCAAGACACTTCGGTATGTAAACCACTCGAGATACCCGGTCTCCTCTTTGTTCACCGCTTTTACCAGCGTTGGTGTGTAGAAAGACGTTAGGCTTTTGCGACTAGAGCCGATGGGACGGCGGCCGTACTCATTACCACCTCCGCCCCATACTCCGTAGCCTTCGCAGACCCGACCTGTAGAATAACATCGGAAACATACGGGCTTGCCTTCGTCGCATTTGACTTTTCGAGTTCTTTGATAGAGTTAACAACGCGGCTAAGAAATATACGGCTTACATCTGAAACTAACTCACTTGCAGGTTTGACAACCCGATTTTACTTTGGATTTAATTGCGCGGGGTGCCATATGGGGTTTGATGTGTTAGGTAGGGTTTAGATCTTTGAATAATAGCCAATGGTAGCCTTGGATTGTCATTGTAGTTGTAACTTGAACATCTAAGAAGCTGAGAAGCTGAGAAGCTGAAGGAAGGCTGAAACGTGGGGGAATAAAACCGATGTGGAGCATTTATTCAGGTAAGCTTCCACTATTCTTATTCGTTCTCTTACCGCACAGTCCCCTGTAAGATTCATTAGGTAATCAGCTCTCATTCTTACTTCTTTGATTGGCCATCTTTACTCGGTCCTCCTTTACATAAATATTTATATGCATGTACCAAGCTAGTCTTTCTCCATAGACACCTAGATTGGTTATTTGCATGTAAGTTCTATCCGGTGGTTGTCTTGTATCATATTCTGGGAATAGATTTCGTTCGAGAGACAACTACTTTAGTCTTTTCTGAAAATTACTCGTCGTTGTCAAAGAATATTTAGGTAGTTTTAGCATAGCTTAGATCCAACTGTATGTAACTACCTCTCATTTAATAGCTTATTCCTGTCTTAAACACTTTGTCCATATCAGTTCCAGAACCAACTCCAAGAACCCCTAATACAAATAGATCTCGCGCATTTTGTAATGTCACTTGTAAGTTGTTTATTCGGGTTTAGTTTCACGTAGTTTCAAATATATGGATATTTTCGATGTCGTCAGTATAAAAGGGTTTGCCTCCCCAATCTTCCAACACCAAGAAATTCATAACACTTATCGTCATCATATTTATCGAACTCGTATACTTCCATTGAAAACACCAGCAAAAGTAAATCTGTAATCATGCCCTCGAGATACGCAGATGTCTCCCATTCCGGGAAAACAGATGTTGCTTCAACTCGCACACCTAATTCCCTCGTGTGGGGAACCACTAAAGCCATAGAATTGGTTTCTAGTGTGCGGTTCTCATGGGATAATCACCAGAATAGAATCTTTATAGACTTCTTGAAGGCTGTCGGCCCCGATTTGAAAGACGTCGATATCGAGCCATTGCTTTTCCAGCTTGATCTTCACGGGTATGATAATATAAGAAATAAGTCTGGAGAGAGTGTCTACCGCTTGATCAAGGAAAAAGTTATGAGAAAACTGAAGAGAACCGCCGATAAAATGGAAATGAATGGACTATTTGAATCTGATATAGAGTTAGTTGCTTATATGTTTCTGTTTATACTCACATCACTGAAATATCTAATTCTCCTAGGTCAAGTTCAATCGACCCCGAACACAATGTATTTAAATACAGACGAGATTCGATTGATCCAAAGATAAAACCAGAGTATACCGAATTTACACAGCCAATCCACCCCTTCCTAAAGATACCTCAACAGAAGGTTCGTAAAGGTATTCTAAAAAATGCAACTTATGAGGATTCGACGTACATGAGTGAGACTTCATATCCGGGCTCACAAACCCAACGAGCTTCGCATGCTTCTCATCTATCTCCGCAAAAGAACGGAAACACAAGGACTATTGAAGAGGCCAAGTACAAACGCGCTCGACAGTCTATCCGGGATCTTGTGTTTGAATTATCTCATACTGAAAAAGCACTCAAGGAAGCTGCATCTGCATTCAACGACCTACAACCAATCAAGAAGGGTGAAAAATGGACTGGTGTACTTAACCGAATGATACTGACGCATTACGATGTACAACTAGACGGGGCCAAGTTTTACGAATTCGCCAAAAAGAACCTATAAAGGGGGTCCTGGTGTTTTTGATATTAGCTGCATGGATTTAGGATGGTAGCTTGGTGTGATCGGCCTGCACTGTTGGGTTGGGCTTCGGTTTTAATAAAGCATCGCGAGAGTTGATAGCGCTAAGAGAAGCGCAACTAGAAGAGATACTCGCTTTAATGTCAATCGTTTAAATATCCGAATGAAAAACATCTACATCTAGAGGTTGCATTTGTGAGCTGCCGCGGTAATTCTTAGCCCCGTAGGAGAATTATATGACATGTAGTCCCTGCAGAAAGGGTTCAACCACAATACGACGAAGAGAAGGCTGAAAATTCCCCGCGTATAAAGTATGGCCACAGAAATAGTATATATATTGCTAGCGCCAGATACAGGGAAGAAATTTGGGTATTTCGACCTCTCTAGACTGTATCTTAGGACGAATAATAGTTAGTGTAGACATAATTACCATCCCTATGGGGACTTAACAAGTTTGGCTGCACCTTCCCCTCTAAATTATTTTTCTTGGCACCCACTGTTAGTGCGGTGTTAAGGCCGGCCGCCATATAGCTGCGCAACCTTATATAAAAGTGGCCGGTCTTTAATAAGACAATAATAACGGAAAATTTTTTATTTTCGAAACGTTTAACACTAGAAAAAAATTAATTATTTTACCCGTATAACGGCGTAATAGGGTTTTTAACTTAAGAAAACATTACGAAACATTATTATATTCGATTTTACATTTTTTATTTAAAATAAAAAAAAAACGTTTAAACGATAATCGATGATTTAAATTGGCGTTATTTTTACTGTACGTTTAACGGTTTATTAGGTATTTATTTATATATATTAATACGGCGCGTTTTTGTTTTAGGTTAGTAAAGTTACGGGGAAATAATAAAAAAACGAAAAAAACGAACGTTTAACGCGTTTTTGTTTTAATTCGGTAAAGTTACGAAACGTTAATGTTTTTTCGAAAGTAAAAATTTTAAAACGTTTAAAAGTAACGGAAAAGGTTTTGTACGATTAATAAACGGCGGTTATTATTATAAACAAAAGTTTATATTTAAAATGTTTATATATTAAATTTATTTGTTATAAAATTACGTTAATTTTTTTTTTTATAAAAGAATAAATTTTATATTTATATATTATTAAATATAAATTTAATAAACGGGGCAAATAAAAACGGTATAAATATTATATGTTTTTAGGTTTAAAATGTAAAATATATATAAAAACGTATAATTTTACACGTTATATGTTTTAAAAAAAGCTTAATATTTCGTGCTTTTAACATTAAATATATAATAATAATAATAATAATAATAATAAGTTTAATTATAACTTTTTTTTAAATATTATTTTTTTTAATAATAATTATTAATGTTTTACGTTAATTTATATAGTTTTTTTTAATATTTATTATAAAAACGTTTAAATTTTAAAGTTTATTAAACTTTTAACATGGTTTTATAATTTGCCTCGAAATTTAATAACTTTTAAACGTTTTATAAAAGTAATTTTATATTTTAATAAATTATTAATAAAAGATTATAAGTTAAAAAAGTATTATTTATGTTTACGTAATTTTTAAAAAAAAAACGAAACGTTTAAATTTTTTTAATTTAATTAAATTTAAAAAAAAGTTTTAAAAATTATATTAATAAATTTTATTAAAATTATTAAAATATAAACTTTTACGTATAATTAATTTAATAAATTTATAGTTATTAATTTTTTATTTGTTATTTTAATAAAAATATAATAAAAATAAAACATATAATAAAAAATATTAAAAAACGTGGTACGTTTATTAAATAATATTATTGCTTTTTACGAAAACGATAATAAAAAGTTTTTTATATGGGAAATTATTAAATATTTTTTAATATATTTAAATATTGTTTTATTTATAAAAAATATTTTATAAAATTTTTTTAATAATTTTAATACCGATTTAATTAACGTAAATATTTTTTTAATTAAAAAAAACGTTAATAATATTAATATTAAATATTTATATATTTTAATAATAATTAATAAAAATAATATTAACGGTAAAAAAAATAATAAATTAAATATTATTAATAAAATAACAATTTTTTAATAATAAAAAAATTTACGTTATTTAATTAAAATTATTAACAATAATATAAAATAAGTTAAAAAATAAATAAATTTTATCTTTAAATTTATTATAATTATTAAGTTAAAAATAATATTAATAAATATTTTAAATATTTATTATATTGTTACAGGTTTTATTATATACCTTTAAAATGTAAAAGTTAAAAAGTATTTATTATAAAAAAAAAAAAAAATCGGTGGTTTTTTAAATAATTGTTATAAATTTATTTACGAAATAATCTTTCCGAAAAAATATTACGCTTAAACTTTTTTAATTAATAAAATAATTAATAAGGTAAATAATAAGTAAATAATAAAATAATTAATAAGAAATTATATATATTTATATAAAAAATATTTAAAAATTAATAAAATTATTAATAAAATTTTGATAAGTTAATAAGATTTAATATTTATAAATTTAATTAATTATATTTTATATTATTTTTATATTATTTAAATATTTTTATTAAATATATTTTTTTTAATTTTTATATTTTAAAATTAATTAATTAGGTATATTATTTTTAGTTTTTATACCGGTAATATATTTTAATTAAATATATTTATTTAATATTTTTAGCTGTTAATTTTATAATATTTAGTTTTGTAGTTTTTAACCTTATAGCCTTTAGTTTTATAGCCTTTAGTTTTATAGCTATATGTTTACATAATTAACCAAAATAATAATAACTTTATAAATAATTAATTTAAAAAATAACCGATATTTAATAATAAAAAATAATAATAAAAAATAATAAAAAATAATAAAAAATAAAAAAAAAAAAAATATATAATAAAAAATAAAAAATATAATAAAAAAAATTTAAAAAAAAAAATTTAAAAAAAAAATTTAAAAAAAAAATTAAAAAAAAATAAAAAAAAAATTAAAAAAAAATAAAAAAAAAATAAAAAAAAAATAAAAAAAAAATTAAAAAAAAATTTAAAAAAAAAAATTAAAAAAAAGTTTTTTTTTTTTATAAGGTAACTGTCTTTAGGACTTAAAAATTTGAGCGGTTCTTTTGGAAAGATTTAACGGATAGTTTTTTTTTTTTTTTTTTTTTTTTTTTTTTTTTCTTTGCCCCCCTCTCCCTTTTAGCCCCCAATCCCTTTTTGGCCCCTACTTTCCATAATAAAATTTCGAAACAAATCAGGAGCTTGCAATTGTCTGTTGATGAAATTTTATAATTATGTAATTTTAGAAGTTTTTATAATTATATAAATATATATAAGTAAATATATAAACATTATTTATTTTATTAATAATAAAATATTTACGTAAATAAAGCGTAAATTTGTTAATATTTAACTTTTATACCAAAAAATTAACCTTTTTATTATTATTAATAATTAAACCGTTTTTTTTTTAAAAAAATTTAATAAATTGTTTAAGTTTTTTAAAGTTAATTTATATTTTTATTTAATTAAAAAAAAGGTTTTATTTTTAATATATAAAAAGTGTTAAAGTTTTTATTTATTTTAAAATTATATTTAAATTTTATATTATATATATTATAAGTTTAAAATAAATAAAAATTATTAATAATTATATTAATATTTTAAAAGTTACGTAAATTATTATAATTTATATTTATTAATTTATTTAAAATATTCGGTTAAACCGATTTAATATAACGGTAAATTAATTTTTTAAATATAAAAAAATTAAATGTAATTTATATAATTAAATTTAAATTATATTATATAATATATTTTTTTAAAAGCGTTAAAGTTTTTATAATTAATATTATTAATTTATAATTTAACATAAAATTAAATAAATAATTTAGTAAAAATTTTAAACTTATTTTAAAATTTATTTTAAAGCTTATTTAAATAAATAAAAAATAAAAAAAAAGTAAAAAAACAAGGCGTAAAAGTAATAAAAGTAAAAACTAAAAAATAACTTAAATAAAATCTGTTATATTTGCGTTTTCCGAAATTAAAAAACTTATTTTTCCGAAAAAATATTACGCTTAAATTTTTTTAATTAATAAAATAATTAATAAAATAAATAATAAATAAATAATAAAATAATTAATAAGAAATTATATATATTTATATAAAAAATACTTAAAAATTAATAAAATTATTAATAAAACTTTAATAAATTAATAAGATTTAATATTTATAAATTTAATTAATTACACCTTATATTACTTTTACACCATTTAAATATTTTTATTAAATATATTTTTTTTAACTTTTATACTTTAAAATTAATTAATTAAATATATTATTTTTAACCTTTACACCAATAATATATTTTAATTAAATATATTTATTTAATGCTTTTAGTTATTAACTTTATAATACTTAATTTTATAACTTTTAATTTTATAGTTTTTAACCTTGTAACCTTTAATCTTATAGCTATATACTTATATAATTAACTAAAATAATAATAACCTTATAAATAATTAATTTAAAAAATAACCAATATTTAATAATAAAAAATAATAATAAAAAATAATAAAAAATAATAAAAAATAAAAAAAAAAAAAATATATAATAAAAAATAAAAAATATAATAA